AACACAGGAACCTAAAGAAAAAAAAACCAAACCAACACAGCCCTAAAAGGAAAAAAAACCCAAACACCACAGGAACCAAAAGGAAAAAAACCCAAACCCACACAGGAACCTAAAGGAAAAAAACCCAAACCCACACAGGAACCTAAAGGAAAAAAACCCAAACCCACACAGGAACCTAAAGGAAAAAAAACCAAACCAACACAGCCCTAAAGTGCTAGACCTCACCGGAGACTGCAGCCCTGGGACCCCAAACTCCACAGAAGCCACACAACAAAAAGACCCCTTCCCCATAAGGGAACCTGCCTCACACCAAAGAAGAAAGAGACAAACCGTCACCAAACACAAAGGACTTGTTTCTGGCTGGGAGTGGGTGCCAGGGGACAAAAGGGTGCGGCTCACCTCACTCCACAGAGGCACCAGAGTCTTGCCGTCAGGATCCCCACGCTGGCCCTAAACCTGCAAGCACAGCTCAATCAAACACATTCAAAGGCAACCCCCAGACCTCCTCTGCTATGAAGCCCTGAGCCAATCCACCCTGCAACAAGATAGTCCCGTCCCACTTCACTAGTGCCCATCACCCAGGAAACTAAACCCAAATAGCCCCAAAGAGGGGAATTCAGCAGCCCATTTCTTCGCTGGTGGTCAAGTCGTTCCTATTTTCACAGAACTTCTGGTGTGCAAGTCTGAGAACACTGCACACCTCCCATTAGTGTGCAAACAAGACTCCTGCACTTAAGATATTCCCTAATAACACTGACATACTCCCCTGCAACATCCAACTGGGCCACACAGAACCCTACCTGGTTGATCCACTGCGACCGTTCCTTAAACATTTCTTCTCCTCCGCTGACTTGGAGCTGACTTCTAGAACAACCCGTTCCCTCACTTTTCCGGGGAAGGAGGTGATGTTGGTTATCCTTGGGTCCTCGGGCATCTTTCCTGTAAGAAACATCATAGAGAATGTGATACAGAGCCATCTAGCAATTGCTTCCGCAAGCTCCCCCGGCACGCACGGTACGCCCCCATTCGAGCCCAGATATTCACAGACATGGATTTTTACCTGAATCATCTTTCACCAGCTACTCCGCAATTAAGAACAAGATCATTCCTCCTCGAAGACTCTTTGCTCCCTGATCTGGGATTCCCAAGGAGCCATCTCAGCAGCGACCCCTGGAACCGAGAAAGCGTTTGGCAACCCTGCATTCTCCCATTCTCTGTTACCAGGGCCCCCGTCTTAAACAGGCCGGCTGCTATTTCCCCCCCCCCCCCGATCTCCTTTTTGTTGTTGACAAACCTGGAGACTTCTGTTAGCCTTGACCTCCCTCCCCAGAAGGGATTCTGAAGTGGGCCTTGCCCCCCCTCGCCTCTTCTGTTCCTCCTCCTCTCCTTTGATTTTATCCACGCTCTTTGTTTGCCCAGGCGCATCTCCTGCCATCTCTGCTGTTTCTTACTCTTAGAGATACACCCCCTCCAAACACAGAGGAAGTAACGCATGAGCATCAAGAACCGCTCGCAGGACCTCTTCCCATATTCTAACCCTAAGGTTACCTCCACTTAAGTCCTTTAAGGGGAGGAATTCTTCTCCGTCCAAGACCCCCCCCTTTTTCAATCCTACTTATTGCTTTGCATCTTCCACGTGAGATCCTGAACTTGGCTGCCTTGCAGCTGCCGTGCTCCAGGCCTCCCCTGGTCTTCTCATCTCCAGCCAGCCCTTCCTCGGCAGGGAGGACGAGCTCCGGCAGCACCCCTCTCCTCATCGGCTTCTCTGTCACCAGCGTCCAAAGTTTCATCTTCAACAGATCACAGGAGCCTCCTGCAATGAGAGTGTGCTGCTTTCCTAGCAACTAGCAGAGCCGTTCAAGTCTGCTGTGAGAACTCATGCACACAGCTGTGAGGTTACTTCCAGCTGCAAGCATAGCATCTCGTCCGCTTTCTCATCCCTGCCCGCCACCGACACCCCTAGTGACGTTGCCACATTTACCGCCCCTGGAGCCTCACGCAGCAGGGCAACCCTGGTTCTTCGTCTGTCCCTAGGCACAGCTACGTTCCAGTTACGTCACCAGAAGAGCAACTCCACCGCCTCGCTGCTCTGTCTTCCCTGAAAAAAAATAAATAAACAAACAAAACATGCCATCCACAACAGCATTCCAGTTGTGCAAGCTGTCCCACCGCGTCTCCGCTACGAAAATCAGATGATGCTCCTGAAGGTACGCGTAAAGCGCAGGGCGGATGGGAAAGGAATCCGCGGTCCCGTCCGGCTCGCGGTCCGTGCTGGAAGCGGGAGGGGTCGAAGCGCTGGCAACGCTCTTCCGGGGGGCGGAGGCAGGCGCCCGGGGTCGCGCTCGGTCTCGAGCGCTTCGGCGGCCGCTCCGTGCCGATCTAAAAAAAGCAGAAGCGGCCGAGCGGCGGCCCCGCGAACAGAACGCTTACCTAGTGACTCCCAAACGCTCGCCGGTTCGAGCTCTGCTGTAGCCTTCGCTCAGCCTGCAATAGAAGAAAGCTCCTATTTCAGCAGCCCTTGGCGGTGCTTCTTACTCCCAGCACCGCCGAAGCGGCAGGAATGCGGCCCCGTCCCGCTCGCTCTCGCCGACGAGAGCGGGGGAAACTAAACCACCTTCTAAAAAGCCCGAGAGGAGCTGAGAACATTCCGTGGCTGCACTAGGACTCGGGGAACCGAGCGGCGACGAAGAGAAGCCGGGCGAGCCCGGAGGGGGCCCCCCGTCGGCCCCGAACGGAGCGCGGCAAGAACCCGGCGGCCACTTGCTGCGGGCGGACGGTCCCGAACGGCTCCGGAGGGTTCCCCGCCTCCGCGGTCCCGTTGCTACCGGAACGGCTCACCGGTTCGGACTGATCCTCACCGCGAGAGACCTCGCTACCGCCTGAAACGAAACAACGCAACAGAGAACATTACGTAGAATCCCGAGGCGTCGCGTTAAAAGCCCCCCTCGTACCGCTACTCGACCCCAGAGGCGCAAGTACCGGACGAAGGCGTACAACCCGCTCCGGCACCAGCAAGCGGCAAGTTCCGGCAGCTCTCTCGTAGCTCTCTGCGGCCTCCGGCGGAGCTTAAAAGGCATCCCGGGGCGGCCCCGCCCCGGGATGCCGACGAGGCGCACCTGTGCCCGGCCGGCCGCGGCGCCGACGCACCTGAAAGTCGTTGACTCGTTAGCGCGGCCGGGGCTCGTTCGGACGGGCCGGGGACCCTGCTGGTTAGACGTGGACGCTAGATCTGAATTAGGGACTGAAATTGCACTTCAGTACGGTTTGTTACACGCTTCCCCTTCGCAACTCTTTGAGGGATTCATTAATATTTGTGCCCGACTCAAACGGATCGCTTCGTGTCTCATGCGACACCCTTCCAAAGAACGTCTCTAGCCTTAATCGTTTTCCGAGGCCCCCGCCGCGCACTTTCTATCTCCGCGCGGCTTTCCCTTGGCCCTCGTCCAAAGAAAAGAAAACAAAAAAAAAAAAAAAAAAAAAAGTTACGCGTGTAAAAACTTTGTACCTGACAGAGAAAATGTAACTGAAGGCGGCAGTGGAAATATGGAAGCAGCCATGTGACGAACGCCCACGCGGCTTAATGATGCGCGTGAGAAAACCGACGACCGGTGAAATTCGTAGCGAAGCTTTCCAAACGGTTCTGCGCGGTGTTGCTCGGGATTACGTTCGCGTATTAAACGTGTAGGAGCGCTTTCGGAGACATTTCAGTTATCTCCAGTTAAGGACACGGGCACTCCGTAAAGACTTCAGTGATGAAATTCACTTCACATAGCAGTTTCGTTCTTGATTTAAAATCCTGACTGTTGGACGGCATTCATTTCCATTTCTTATGATTGTAGAACTGTGAATGTTTTTATCGCGTGCGGTTATGGATATATTTTCACTGCCTTCGGTGGCCTCACATGGGAAAAAAGGGGATCCGAGCATGTGGAGTGAGGCGAGAGATCCTGCCCTGGGTACGCGATACGTTGCGACGTTCTCCGGGAGAAGAAGCTATCCGGTTAACGTAGTTGTAAACTACGCCGATCGGTTACTAGCGCGTACAACTCCTTGGCTTGTAAATGTATAATTTACATGTAATTCAATCAAATGATATACAGCTGTTTCTATAGTAACGGATGCGCTTCAATGAAGGATATAGCAAAGTCGTTTCATTTATTTCTTGAAATTAAATGGCCCTACAAAACGTGGGATAATGTAATGACATTACAAAGTTTTAGACAATTACCAAAAGCGTGGCGTTTGTGAAAAAAAAACAACGCATACGCACGTGAAACATAAAGCACAGATGAACAGATGACAAAGATGACTCCGGAAAATATTTCGTTTATGTGAAACTCCGACCGGTTCGGAGGGAAAATAGAGATGAAAATGAACCCGATATAAATATGGCGTTTTGTGGGAAGACGAGAAAAAATTACGTTTTGAATGCTGTTCAGAGCAGCAGCTGTGGAGCAATTTAGATAGCGTGAGAACCAAGGAGGCCTCTAGAGGAAGAACGACGTCTCACGGCTCCGATTGGGTACGCGCCCGCATGAACGGTTAAGGAGTGTTTGTAGAAGCTCTGTTGCCATGTAAAGGCGAATGGGAAAGTTGTAGGGGCGGCTGGGAAAACTAGAAAAAGAAAACTTGAGAAGGAGAACTTGTAATCAATGATTTGGATCGTTCACATCTGAGTGCGTGCATCAGACACCGCGCTGTTTTGAATAGAGCTTCTCGACTCCCCCCTTCGTCTCCCCTTGAAATTCGACGCGTGATGTACCTCGATAGTTTTGGTTGTTTCTATGGGGGACATTTATGGGATGGGGACTGGAGTTTTGAATAAGAGAATATGCAGCGATAGGCGCGCGTATCAGATGGGCTTTAATCACCTTTCTCGACATAGCCTGGCGTACCGGAAAGACTGAAATCTAAAGGAATAAATCTGAGGCGTGCTTTCTCATTTTTTGTTCCGATGCTTCGCAACTGTCTCTCTGGATTTTCATCATCATACTCTTATTTTAAGAACTTAAACATTGATTTTTTAATTTTGGTGTGAAACAAACAAACAAAAAAGCATAAGACCGGACTACACTTTTCTAGCATTGACAATCTAGCCATGAAACGTTTGTTCCAGTGGGCGTTCTTCAACGAGGACGTGTCACTGTCATGCAGTTCCCCCGGTCGAAGCCGCCTCGTACTTCGGCGGTCACGCAAGCGGAAGACCCGGATTCTCCTCACTGCCAAATTAATATTCCCTATTGAAACGCCGCGGGAAAACCGCACAAAGGATTTCAGAGCCGTGACGTTCCGAAAACTGACGGTAGGTTGAAGTATGGGAAGGATTTGCGAGGTTAAGCTGTACACGTTGACATATGGAAGCCAATTTTTATGCAGCAGTTGTCAAAACCCGATCGCTTTTCCTAATTATGGATGTGATGTTACATTGTATCTGCGAAGAACTGTTCCGCCTCCACATAATCTCAATGGGCAAAAAGTTAGACGGTCTTCTTTTCTGCCCTTTGCTCTTTTCTGCTTTGAGAGAAATGAGGCTGCGCTTGCTAGAAACGAGGAGTGAAGCTTCAGTAGCAGTATTCTCTGTTCTCGTTGTTAGGTCTAGACAGACAACTACATCTAAAACCACATTTAGCTTGTGAGGTATAATTTTTCTTTTATACTCTCTCAGCACAATGCTTTTGTGACGCTCCGAGAGTCACTGACGTACGTTTATCAGGAAACAAAAGGGAATGGAAAAAGACAAGGAACTCCACTGCTCGGGACTGTCGTGCACCGGTTTAGTGCCTCAAAACAGTTTTGCGTTTACTCTGTAAGTACACGGTCCGGAATCCATAAGATGCAATTTTTCTGGCTCTCGCGGAAGCTCAAGAATCCCTTTATTCTCTTCGACCGCGTGCCCGTGCAGCCTTCTGCATTACTAAGCTGACCAGATCGTCCCTAGCAAGTCCAACACAGAACAATTACCGTAGCGCACGCGCCATTTCCCACACTCATCTCTGTGAGACGCGGTTTCCTTAGTATAAAAATGCTTCAAATAGGAAAGACAGTGGAAGTTCAGTCTTTCAAACGCGTCAACAAATTTGTCTTTTTATTGTTTCTTTTTTTTTAGTCGCTCAGGTAAACGAGATGCACGGGCAGTTCAACCAAAGAAGTTACCATTTATTCCTCTCCTTAACTTCTGGCGTATGTTTTCAAATCCATCCTCAAGAATACGTAGCACCCTGGAGAACTATTATCTGTTTTCTCCAACATTTTACTAACGAGGGTGGGCGCTCGTAACAATTTAATCAAGTTTTGAATAGCCAAGCGAGTGGTAACATTTAGAAATGTAGATAAATAACAGACCCATCGTCCTTTCGTAGCACGTAAGCTATTAGTTTAATTTTGAGCTCGCGATTTTACATTTAGTACGTTCAAAACAGCTGCACGATTTTACAATACCGCCCAATGGATTTACGTAAGTCAGAACGAACGTCTGTTTATAACGCAGCCTTCCCAGGTCGTTCTCCGGTAGCACCGATACTTGTCTTACGCTGAAATCCTGTAGGTTTCAGCTGGTCAATGAGATGAGTTTGACTCAACGTCACTGACAGATTAGAATCTTCCGCTTTGAATAACTATTCCATTTTATGCTTTTCTTTGTGTCCAAGGTTTGCTTTCAGTTGACTCTGGCGCTAAGTTCAGGGAATCTCAATCCGCTACCCCTCGTGCAAGAGTCACATACAGAAGATCGGGAAAAAGGAAATTGCCCCAGGTTTTCAGAACGTGAACCTCTGAAAGCATGCCTTGAAGTTCCCTTTTTTCTTTTAAACCGAATCTGCTAGTAAATTTAATATATTCTTAAAACTGAACTAATTGAAAGCGTAACGCAAAACTACCGTATGCACAAGTAGTGAAGCAATGGTTTTCTCTATTGTGATTATGCCAAGTAGAAGCGTGTCCAGCGTCTTAGAAGCATTATTTGACCACCACGCTCAGCAGGATGCAAACATTTATTTTCCTCAAAATCCCTATCCTCTTGCTAGTTTACACTGCTTAGGATACCGCAGCCATTGGCATTCTTGCCAGTATTTTAGTAACCGAGTTACTGTTACGGATCAGTGCTTCTTGCTAGTATGTCACAAGCAGCAATCCACTTGTATATTTTCAACAGTTACTTGTTTAGCAATAACAGTTACACGAGAAACAAATTTGTTGCTCACAAAGATAGAGAAGCCAATACACGCTTGTTCCTAACTTGAGGATTAGGTTTAGAAACGCAGTCGGATTAAGGCCTGTGCACCAAACGCTGCAAAGTAGGCATTATTTCACTCCAGTCACATAAGTTGCAGCAGCTTAGTACCGTTACATATGCGTAGAAACAACACTAGTGATGTCCGAGAGCTGATTTTACTTAGTTTTCTAAGCATTACAAACTCACAGTTTGCTGCAATTACAATAACTACAATAATACACGATAACTTCAGTACATAACCTTAAAGGAATCGCTTCAAAGAACATCCAAGTAGAAAAATACCACTTGCTTTACATAATAGCAGGCAAGCTACGGCCAAACACCTTTCCAATCACTCCACCTCTGTTCCTGAGGAAAGAATTCGTCAGAAATAGGACAAAACATTTTGAAAACTGGAAACGCTTCCTACCTCCGGCTCCTCAGTATTCCTAGGGGCCGTTTCCACAAAATGCTCTCCTTGGGCTTTTTTTTTATTTTTTAATTTTTATTTTAAAACTCTGTCACACATACCGTATAACCCATTTCGCAGGCATTAGCCAGCTGTTTACCCTCTTTACCCTCCACTGCTTTCCCAATATGTCTCCCATGAAAATCAATTGTAGGAGCTGGCCTACTCATTCGGAACCTTCAGACTGAACTACGTGATTCCATAGGCCTTAGGGGAACCATACCGTAAAAGGAATGGTGTAATTAGCATGTAATATAATCATAGTATTTACTGTATTTAACAGCATTATAGCACATGCTATTTCCACAGGCAGTTTCTTCTACAGAACTATTCAAGTAGAAGTGTTCTCAGTCATTATGTTAATAAAACAAACTTACAGTGAAAAATGTTCATACTACCAGGAGAACAAAACCAGAACGAAGCAAAACACAGCGCTTGCTGTTTCTCCAAACAAACAGAAAACCTTCACTGTATAAAGAGTAGACAATTCCCAGAAACATAATTCATCAGGAGTTAGAAACAAAAAATAAATTGCGGTTTCACAGACAGAGGTGTTACGGTACAAGAGACTTAGAACATATTGTAGAAAGCATCACTCGGGTCCGGCTGCTTTTCAAACTTGCAGTCGGTATGTGAAGTTCTCAGAACTGAAGCAAGAGAGGCCCGTAGCAAAACAGGAGCTTAAGCATTGCTGCTCTTCAGCAATGGCACTGAACTTGAAACTTGGAGAATCTTAGAAGCGTTTCTCATTCCAAGGTTATCTTGAAGTGCTGAAAAAGGCAGGGAAAGAATAAGCTGCAGGCACTGGCAGACAAACAGATAAAACTAACGATACAGCAAGATAACAAATCAATTCTATAGTTAGTACCCTCATTGACTAAGCCCAGTAAAGATGTGCAATAGGGTTGCTTGACACATTTCTTACAGGCTAATTGTGAATGATGTTCCAAAAAAAAAAAAAAAAAACAACAAAAGAAACGTACATCATAAATGAGACCAACTACACAGCTCATAGCTAACCTTATCAAAACAATGTGTGTCTATATAGAAATAGAACAGCTTGCCTACTCTGCCAGGAACATTCCATGAGAACTTAAAACATCATTACACAGAGGAGGGTAACAAAGATGCTCAGAGAGCTGAAGCACCTTTCCTATGAAGAAAGGTTGAAGCTGGGCTCACGCAGCTCGGAAAAGAGAACGCTCAAGGAAGATCTCATTGTGGCCTTCCAGGATTTGAAGGGAGCTTAAAAAAAATAAAATAAAATAAAATAAAAAACAGGAGAGGGCAACATACTTGCCCCCCCCCCCCCCCCCCCCCCAGAGGGATGGTGACGAAACAAGGGGAAAAAGGCTTTAAAATCAAAATAGGTTTATGTTAAATACTAGGAGGAAAATCTTGACTCAGGGGACAGTGGTGAAACACTGCAACAGGTTGCCCAGAGAAGCCGCAGATGCCCCAGCCCTGGAGACATTCAAGGCAAAACATAAAAGAAAATCAGTGCTGTGTTAAGCGCTTTGCTGTTTTCACAGGTGAAACAGTCATGTTTTGAACCTTTATTTAAAGCCCTAGCAGACTCAAACATAATTAAAAGAAAAACATGCTTCTAACCCCAGTAGGTATTACCCCTTTCCAAAGGGATAAATCCGCATCTCAGATTCAGTTTGTCACAGGACGTTATGAGCATGAGGCCAAACATTACACATGCAAAAATATTTATCAGACAGGTAGATTTCTTTTAAAAAAAAAATAACGGCTCAGAAGCGCTCACAGCGCTGAAGTGTTGAAATACATCTCAGAGTAAAATGGATATGTGGATAGAGTAGCCAGCAGGATGTAGCCTACTTATGACACAGCTGAGTATTTTAACCAAGTGATATCCTACACAGTGTAGACTGTGTAAAGTTTTCTCTGTTTATCAGAATCCTGATAGGAATTAGGCACATATAGGTACTCTGAAAATCTGAAAAGGATCAAGTTCAAGCTTCTCTCAGATTAATGATTAAGTACTGAAATAAATAAAAGAAAAAAACAACAGCAGTTTGTCTCATCTTCCCCTCATCTGTGCAAACCAACAAAACAGACAGAGGAAGTTCAGGAAAGACAAGCACGGTGTAAAACACGGCCCATTTAAGTCAAATCAGAATGAAAGACAGCTAAAGAACGTCAAGCCACCTCAGCTAAGTCCTGGAAGCAGCAGATTATGAACTGCGCATTCCACGAACCCGTACGAAAGCCTAACGAAGGGCAACATCCACGGTTCAGATAGACTCACAAAAGCTTAGAATCATAGAACTGAACTACCAGGCAGCAGTGTGGAACGCACACCTTGAATAAATACTGTATGAGAATTCCGATTTTCTGAAGCCGCTAACGCTTCACTTAGTTTTGCAGGGGCTAACTGCGTTATTCAGAGGACTCGATCTATTCCCCTTAATACTTTTAATCCAATAGTTGCGCTGGATGTCCAATATGAAGCAGTCAGAAGCAGGAATGAATGAAGCGAGGCCTCTGAATAATTTGATTCGTCTCTTACTTACAGAATATCATTCACCAGAATGAAACCCTTTGTCATAAAAAGCAGTAAATTGGAGTGCTTTGTTTTGATTTTTTCCTTTTGATTATATTTTCCAAAGCCTATTACAGCGCTGTGTGCTTGCGGCCTGAAAAGCCACACAGCTGGCTCGAGTCCAGCTTCCCAACCACCAGTATCCCGAAGTCCTTTTGGGCAGGGCTGCGCGCAATCCTTCCATCCCCCATCTTGTATCCATAGTGGAATTGCTGAACCTGGGGGACCCAGGTGCAGGATCCTGCAATTGGATTTGTTGAGGTTCTACAGGGCCCGCTGCTTGAGTTTGTCTAGGTCTCTCTGGATTACATACGGTCCCTCGAACACGTTCACATTAGACAGCACGGTGCCATCTGCAAACTTGAAGATACGATTGATCCCACAGTTGATGATGCTAATGAACACGTTAAAGAGGATTAGTCCCAGTACTGACCACTGAGGGACACCACTCACCATTGATCTGCTTCCAGACATAGATTCATTTTCCTCATTCAACAAGTGATCCAGCTGTCAAATCCCTAATTTAAGGATTTGAAGAGAAGGATGCTGCGGCAGACCATGTAAAAAGCCTTACCAAAATCCAGATAGTAGACGTCAGCAGCTCTTCCCTGGTCTATTTACTCCATCATAGAAAAAAAGGCCAGTAGATTGTTCAGACAGTGAACCGTGCTAGTTGTCTCATATCACGTAACTCTCTTCCACGTGCCCTAGCACAGCTTACCGCAGAATCTGTTCCAAACTCTCCTCCAGCACAAAGGAGAGGCTGACAGATCTCTGACAAGAGGATCACAACTTTGGCAGAACATATTGAAGCAGTATGAGGTTTCATCAGCAATAGAACTAACAGTGCCTGAGAGATAAACAGATTTTAGTGTTCAAAAAATAGTGAAGTACTGAAGGAAGTTAACATTTCTGCACACCTTTCAGAGGTGCTAAGAGATAAACCCCCCTGCGTGTGACAGGGGGGTTGGAGATTTGTGATCCTCGAGGTCCCTTCCAACCCTGGCAATTCTGTAATTCTGCGATTCTGTGAAACAAATCTGATAGAAAAAAAAAAGTCATATTTGCATATATTAACTATACTGCAGCATCTTAGCTTGTGACATTTGCTTAAGACAGCACATGACAAAAAAACATATAACTGCACGTAAACACTGAAAAGAGCATCACCTGAGCATTTAAAAAAAAATGGTGACGTAGTTCCAACTGGTAGTGATTTCCAGCTACTCAGAATACATGGTCACACAGCACTGCTCCACGCTTGCAGGAATGCTGCAAAAAGCAGTGACTCCAAATTTATTTCAGAGACATTACTGCAGTTACACTCTCCTCCTCAGAAAGAAGCACAGCACGTGCTTGAAAAGGCCATCCCATTTTGAGCACCGTAAGAAGCACTTGGTACGACGAGGCTATAACAAGGCAGAAGATTCGCAAGCAGTTCCACACAGTCAAGGACAAAAGTAAAGGACAACTTTCAACCTGGATGACAAAAAAGCCAACAAAAAATGAATAAAAAACATACCGTGAACCCACTACCAGAAGACCTATTTACATAGCTAGTCATGAACTGAAAGACCTTACTTGTTTTTTTTTCTTTTTTTTTTTTTTTAAAAAACACCTTTCCATCACTTTAACACATTACTCCCAACTTTAATACGTGAAAGGTGATTCTATTATGTGTTATTATCACGAGCTGTGTGTGACATGGAAGTCTTGTAGGATATATTCTCCCTTTCCCAAAGTTCTCTCTAAATATTAGCCAAGAGATTCTCCTTCCGAGAGAAGATCAGAATATATGACATCAGGGGCTCAATAATGAGAAAATTACAGTATTTTAAGAACCCAGAGTCACCATAATTCATTACTGTCCTGTATGTCTTTGGGAGTTTTATTTTGTTATTTTATTTTTTTTTAAGACACATTTAGGTTTGTTTGGTTTATTTATTTATTTTTTTAAACCACACCACAGCTATGCAAAGTGCATCTTAACTATAATTATCATAAAGGTTACTTACACACGGAAAGGACATTTTATTCTAGGGCAAGCTCTTAGTGAAGAGCTAAGAAAAGATTAACATACCTTGTACCTTTCCATATACACTGCACAAGGGGATACAATACATTTAATTTAAAAAAACAGTTTTTGCCTGGAAGGCAAGTAATACTTCAGTGCATTCTTATTCTGAAACACTTTCACGATACGGTGCTAGTGAAGTTAACAACTGCTATATTATATACAGATTTTGTTTGGTTTTTCAACATGCGTCATTACACTGTCACTTTCACACGTTAGCTTTGTAGAGGTTGTACTGAAATTTGAAGTGCACCTAAGTGAGGATCGAGAAGAAAAATAAGTGCCAGAAACGTCAGCAGATGTTTATAGAGTTATCCTAACGACTTAAACGAAAGAGATAACTTTCCATTGAATGAGAAAAAATGACGTAGAAGCATTAGAAAACCTCTCTGCTTTCACAAATATGTTCCATGCTAATTCATAAACATTTTGGCCCCGTAATTCTTCAATTTTAAAAGATACGTGACAAACACTTACTGGTTTGTTGAATGAGGTGAATATTTGACATGCTCATGACATCTGTATCTGTACTGTGTACATAACGCTTTCGATGCTGTGAAGAACTGCAGTCCCTGCCGCATCTGCAAACAAGGTAATGGACAACACACGATGAGATAAAATTTAATCGTAATGCATTCTAACACAAATACAATGTCCTCCTTTCTCTAGACATTACACTTTATCTTTGCACCAAGTACAGGAAAACAGTCAAGTTCAATGTTTCTCAAAATTGAACGGAAAATTAAAAACACTAGCAACTCCCGAAGTCTTTTTCCTTCCCTTCTTCCCTGGAGTGGGAAGTTAAAGGAGCGGTTACTTTTCCATTAAAGTGACAATATAAAGCTATTTGTCTCTAAGCTTCTAGTAGTTTAGAGGTGCTGGAAATGAGAGAAAGCATTCCACCAATACTGCTTTTCTGGAACCATCTGATTCATTGTTTTTGTATCATTTTAACCTTATGTTTTCATTTGAGTACATTTAACCGTGACATAAACGAGGTCATCTTGTTACCATTGATAAGCCAAATAGTTTGAGCTCAGAGAGGAAGATTTCTGGAGGAATCTAAAAGTCCGGAGAGTAATTTTGTCCCTCTCTTACAGACAGCCAGTCACGCAGAAGGAGCAGCAGAAGGAGCACGTGTGGGGCATTAACACAATTTCTCAGAGAAAACGCAAGTTTCTACAGACTGGTTTGTGCACAGTTTGTCTTCAGCAAGACTTCACAAACAAGACTTAAGATTCACAGAGGAACAAGCTAACTGAGCCAAACTGTACTGTCTTTGCTCCGTTGGTTGAAATTGCACTAGTACAAGTACATACCCTTTCACGTGCAGAGATATTTTGACAAAAGATCTTCAGCTGACCTTAGTCTCCTCTAACCTCTGCTCCGCCACGTGAAGAAGAGTTCAGGAAATTCAGTAGACAATAGAAGGAGGTTTTGTTAGTTATAGCGATAAACTCGTATAAATGCACACCTTGCCCTCTACACAAAGAATTAACAATAACAAATAAGAGCTATTCTCGAGGCAGGGTGTTAAAGAACATTCGAAGACAAGAAAAAGAGATCTGTTAAAGTGCATTTACCTATAGGTATTCATATTATGACCATTACTAATTTCAGTCAGCAGCACAAATAGGACAACTCCTATTTTCAAAGAGGGCAACACTCGGCAATATACAGAGAAGCACATGCAAAGATAATACATTTGCTTTTTAAGTCCTAAGTAACAAGGTTGTTATAATACTTAGTCTGTAGAAAAGAGGGAGGACAGGAGACTGCTAACGCAGTTTCTGCTGTAAAGCATCCAGACGATGTCCCTTTATTGCAGGCAGCTTCTCGAGATCTGTTTGCATCCGTTTCTGCTAGAGAGTGAAAAACGTGTGTTTAAATGCATTAGAAAGAGGCAGACAACATCCTCTGGTGCTTCTGTAGCACACGCAGTAAATCAATCCACTTTTTTCCTCGCATAGCACACTAAATATTAAAAAGTTATCCAAATAAAGATTCAAGCTCTGACTCCGCAAACCAGAAAGAAGTTAATTCTTGACAGGAAAACAGAATCTTTGAGCGCTTACTTCTTTATTTTCTCTCTGAAGGACATTGGTTTTAACAAAGCATTTACCCATATGGTATTTCTTATGAGTTACTCAAAGCTTTTTGTGTAAGAGAAGTTTAATATAAAAGCAATTTGCCTCAACAGTTCACATCAGCCTAGTACAAACTGAAGTTAAATACGCTTCAATATTTATTCAACCTTAATGTTGCCTTTCAGCTGAAAATAAAGCAGGCTATACTCATCTAAAACTTAACTTGACTTAAAATCCACATCCAAACTTAAAGCACAATAGAAAACATAAGCAAAGACAAAAAATGCAAAGCCTTAAATTGCAACAAGAGAAGACCCGTTCAAACACAACAGCTAGAGACAGAAAAACAAAAGAATCCGCTTACCCTCAGAATACCACACGTACACAGGGATCCTCAGCAAGATGCTTTCACCTCCGCTTTCAACCTTTAAATGAGGGAAGGGGTGGATCCTGGCTCCAGTCCTTCTCGTCACTCAGGTGTATTGCGTGCACCTGAGCTGTGCTGGGTTGGCCCTGCCCTCCCGCCAGGTGCTCAATCACTGCTTCGGGCCGTGAATTAGCATTTCCTCTACGCTATTTAATTCCTGTTTTAAACAGGAATGTGGCATAAGAAACATTTAATGCTTGACTTCTTGTTGTATTTGCCTTGATTCTCCTTGACATTAAAGTTTTCCTGTCTTTAACCCATAGTAATTGCAAATAGAAATTAAGTGCGGTTTTGGTGGGCCTGAAATTATTTTTATTCATTGTTTTATCTATCAATATAACCTTGCAATACTGCGTTTGCATTGATATGGGTATTGCAGACTTCTCCACTATATTCTCAACTATATCAAACTTTGTACTATATCAAATTTTGTACTGGAAAAACATAAAGAGCTACATGTACTCTTTAGAAGTCTTCCTGTCGGTAAGTTTTAGGAAGGGCAAGACAGCTATGACATCTATCGGTTTTAATGTTCTGAAGTTCTCCAAGAGACCGACGCTATCTTCTCAACAGAAAAGCTGCTTGAATTCCAGTGGATTTGTGTTAGGATGACAGCATATGAAAGATATGAGGACAATCATTCTTGCTCCTTTTCAACCTTCCATATGTATCAGTATAATTTCAGGAGAACCCTCCAAATTCATACTACTGATGTGGGGAAACACACTGAATGAGAAAGTTCAGATAAAAAGTGAGCAGTGTTCCCGTTACTGAGAAGAAGGGAAAAATTGCTCAAAAAAACCATAATCGCATTTTAAGGTACTGTCTCTGCCAACTCAGACAGCCCTTGGTATAGGCTGCATTACGAGATTAAAAAGTACTCTTACCATCTACTCATTTCTCAGCTTGTCTCAGCTTCTGAGTGGCTGCTCCCAAGCAATTAAATGCAACAGCCACGTCAATTCTGCTGCAAGTGGTGGGGGGGGAAAAAAAAGGAAAAAAAAAGCTTGAAAATTCGAGCCTGAATTTCCAGGACTCCTGATACCCTCCACAAAATTAATTTATGCAAATAAATAGAACACAGGCAGTAAACAGCATTGACAGGAACTCATCTTTACGCTTTTATTCTTGTAAAAGACTTTTCTTTTACTTCAAGCGTATGCTGCTATTTGTTTTTCTCACCACAACCCGGTATTCAAAACCACGAAATAAAGAGCCCATTTCCTTTCAAAACAGGCTAGTGGGATAGTAAAACAGCTTTGCTCCGGTTACTTTTCCACTGAAAATGACAAAACAAAGTAAAGGTCTCAAATATTATACGCTCGATACCAACACAGAGACACCGTAGTTCAGCCAGGTTATCTGGGAGCTGCAGAAACCTTCACGAAGCGGAAGAATAAATTATTTGCCTCGGGTCACGTCCGAACAGCTAACCTTCGTAAGCATCCCTGACAGGAGGCATCGCCACCAAGGGAGTTCCTTCCAGCAGCCAACAACTTTGTCATCAGCTTCTCACACCGGCTGCTTTTTGCTCTATAATTAACTGGATGATAAATATAGTTTAAATTAACACGGATAGGTTTTATGTGCGGAGAACCGAAGCAAGAAAGAAAAGCTACTTTTGAAGGTTTTCCACGTTTTCAGTGTGTTGGTTAGGAATTGCTTGCTTGAATGTAAGGTGTTTCCAGAAATGCGTGCATTTAAGCATTTAATAATGGTGCCAACTCGCAGATTTGGATTTCTGTATTTTTAGTGTGCAATTTTATGTATTTTCTGCCGTCATAAATGCGGTTGTTTCCTTTAAGCCAGTAACAACGGTATTTATTCTTTGCTGCTTCTGTTAGACTTTCTTCCTTTACGGCTTATTGTAATTTCCAAACCTGAAACAAAAAGAAACCTCTCCCGGCTCTTAGAAGCAGATGGCTGGCTTAGAGAATTAGACGCATCAGAAAGAAAGCGACCTTTTCTCTGACTTTCACATTTGGACAGTGCAGCCGAACCTGTGAGAGGTGCACTGCTTCCTTCAAATCTTGCCTGAGAAACGAGTCCCGCGGCTCCCTGCAAAGTAATTGGTCTAATTAGGTGGTAGGAAGGAGCTTCTTTAAATTCCTCAGAAATTAAGACGTGTCATCCGCTTAACATCTTAGCATCTGTTACTGCCTCTTGCACATTTTTCCACCGCATCGGCCTGAAGGACGCTTTCCTGGACCTTTCGGAGAAAAACAAATTAAAATCTTTGAAACGGAGAAGAAATTGTCCCCTTCTGCAGTGGGATGAAGCATGTAAGGCATTTCGTCCCCTCCTTATTTCTCAGTTTGGTGCACGTCTGCCTCGGTGAGTACGATGATCCCTTTGAGAAAGAATATAGGAGGGTACGGCATAACCTTAAATCCCGTGGTAATCCTTACTGATGTGGTAATGTCGTCCTGAAATATTTTCCCTGCCGACTGCTGACCCCCGTGCAATTATTCCCCGCTGTGCTTACATAGATTTCTTTCAGATGGGCTGTTTAGAAGCTGACGGCGTCGGTAGGCACACCACTAACCTGTTCTTTGTTTTTTGTTTTCTTAAACTCTGCTGTTGTCTGGCAGGAAGTAAGTAACAATTTAATTCTGGCTAATCGCTCGTGCAGTAGGCATAACGTTAGTGGGCATTCTGAACACAGAATGTGTTCTGAGCAGTGGGAGAGGTGCTGAGGCACCGGGAGCTTCAGACCCGCGCTCGCAGCGCAGGGAGAGGCGTGCGGGCATTGCCGGGAGGGTTAATGTTTTGCAGATGCCCAGAGCTGATTGAGATTTCTTAGAGAGGTCCTGCTGCTTAGTTTGGTTCCCTCAGCGTTTATTTACACGCTCTTCTTCTTCGTTGGCTGCTGTGCGAACGCACGGTAGCAGGTAGAAGCGAGTGTATTGAAAGCGCCCGTGTGGATAGAACCCTGAAAGCGTGCCGCAGCGACGGGTACGTTGCGCCCTTACAGTATTCCCCGTGGAGCTCGTGTTTACTGAGAGTCGGGTAACAGCTAGGTAACTGCCACCGATGACGCGTTTTTCTTTGCCTTCTGTTTTAATTGCAGTTCAGGCAAATTATGCCCCCTATTTCTTCGATAACGGAGCCAGGAGCACGAATGGGAACATGGCACTCCTCAGCCTTTCCGAGGACACACCTGTCGGTCAGTATTCAAACGCGTGTGGTTAAAGTATGGAGCCGAAGCCGTTCGCTCTTTTGCTTGGCAACACGCATTTTGTCGTAGGTGGTATTAAACACTGTGGGTTTTCTTCTCAAGCTTTTGATTCACAGCGGCACATCTGAATTGCAGCTGTAATTTAAAGCGTGATGTTTTGTTCCCCTTTCCTCGGTCCGTGAATCTGTTCCCAGCATCAGAGCACGGACCTTTGGGATCTTCTCATCAGTGCTGTAAGTGTTTATGAGAAGAGAGCACAAAATTATCGCTGATAACTTTGTCATCCCTGATGAGGGCAAGCTTTACATTGCAAAGTGAGAGACGTTGTTTTCTGTGAAGAGTTACGATGTTCCTAATGGACAGCACAAATGGTCGAACACGTTTCTGCTTAGAGTAAGAACCGCTCGGTAACAACAACTGTTTCTTTTGAAACAAGTTCAGTTTTGTTTTACTGAAAATTCAAAATTTTACTGAAAATTTTACTGATGCATTCTCTGACCGTTTTGTGGGTGGGTTTATACAGTTCTTTTTTAAACTGTAATTGCATTTAAAAAAAAAAAAAACAGAATAGAAGAAATTGATGATTAGTAATCAGAATTTCCCATGGCAAAAGGATAACTTCCGATCGTCTAAAAAACATTACATGTATTAAACTGCTGTGATGAAGACCTCCAGGCGTAGCACTGAGGTTTCCTTTAGGCTTGGCTCGTTCGTCTGTAAAGTAAAGCACTCGGCTATCGTCAGTGGATTACCAGAGCACCCGTTTACTCTTGCCCTCGTGCACAGAGCAGGGAGATGGCTGCACCCAACCTCTCCCTTGGCAGGGCTTAGGCAGTGGTGGAGACAGGGCTGAGGGCAGACTGAGGGCACAGGCTTCCTAACCATGGCCAGACACTCAGTGCCTGACGCTCGCTCAAAAATCTCAATTTCTGGCCGGAGATCTAGAGGCCGGCCAAGATCCACACTGGGCGTGTTCGAGGTGAGAAAGAGATGGCTGGGAAGCAGCAGCTCCCGCTCTTGTTCTTCAACCAGAGAAGCAGAAGGGGAGAAAGCAGCACAGAGCATAGAAGTGACGCACCCAGCACATAAATGGGCAGTGAGCTTGCTTATGATGCAGCAAAGCTTTGCTGTAAGCTCAGCCAGGCTTAGGCGGAAGCCTCAGCTGAGGTCCTACAGCGTGTAGCAGCACACGCAGACCAAGAAGCTGAGATTTGTGCTTTGCCTTTGCCCAGAGTTGCCTGGAAACCACGCTAAGCCTCAGCAATCAGAACAACTCTGCCGGTGGCTGGAGCAAGGCTGATCGGTAGGATTGCTTCCCTACTCACGTAGATAGTGCCTGTAATGTGAGGTGCTTACTGGGACAAAGTGACACCCGACCCAGTCCATATGAGTGATGGCTGCCAGCCCCACTGCACTGCAGGCAGCGCAGCTCCCTGCGCGCCACTGGACTCTGTCCCTGGCATGCTGCTGGCCTGCAGGCCTTTACAGAGCACTGGCTGCTCCCTGCTGGGCCTTCAGCCACCTCCACGGGGTCGGAAGCTGACGGTGGCACAGTCAAAGATGTTCACCCTGGCAGGGCTTCAGTTTGTTCCAGAGACAGCACTCCCTGTAGCAGTGGTGCTCCAACACCGGGACCCGATGCGCCTGGCTGGAGCTGCAGGCAGGCAAAGGAGAGGGTGTGTGCCCAGACAGCTGTGTGGCTGTGAGGGATCAGGGGTTGTGTCAGCTGCCCTATCTGCAGCGTTGCTATTGCTCATGACTGCTGGCTTTGGCTAAAACGCGTCTACATTAGCTGGTCTGTACTTGCCGTTTGTTTTATAAATGTGTTTTAAAAGTCAAGGGAGAAGCAACTCCCAGCACTGCACAGAGCAGGAGGGCCAGAGCCGGGCCACAGCTCAACGTGAGGACCCAGCACTGCAGGGGAACCTGGAAGAGAGATTTATCCGTTTCCTGCATCCGTGCGCAGTTCCCAGCATCCGTAGTCCCGCAGTCATGTTAGACTTTTGAGCAGGATGATCAGTGACAAAATGGGTACTGAAGCTTGCGTATGGCTGATTCTGGGTCGCTTCGCTCAGGCTTAGTGCTGCGGAAATGCTGGGGTGGGTTGGCATTAGGTCTCGTCTGTGCTCACATAA